TTTTTTTTTTTTTTTTTTTTTTTTTTTTTTTTTTTTTTTTTTTTTTTTTTTTTTTTTTTTTTTTTTGTTCTTTTTGAGTTCAAGGATGGAAATTTTGATCTTTTTGGTTGCCTTCATCAGTTAGTTTGACGATTGGCTGGGAAAGAATTGCTGTCGCATGTTTTTCCACTCGTATGTTGTGGTGGTGGTACACGGAAGTTCGTGTTATTCGGTGCCTTTACTGACCACGTTTCAATTAACATCACATGCAAACTCTTTGCTCTTACGTGTTGGATTATATGTCCAACTTTCTCCTAATTTTAAAAGCTAACCTACAGGTTTGATTACGTCAACAAATGATTAATCTTTTCCTGTGTGGCAACCCTTTCTGAGTCATGCCTGCTATAAAAAAGGTTAGTCCAGAGTTCTATTTTCCTTATTTATTTATTTATAATAAGAAGTCCGTAGTTTTATTGATTTTTGTTCGTTGTTCTTTGTCTATGTGCTTTGTATCTTGTTCCATTCTTATTTGTGTCATATAGAATTGAAGATGATCTCTTAAGATTTTAATATCTGCAGTACTTCTGGATCTTCTATTCTTGGTTTAGCTTGATGTCCACATATAGTAGAGTACGCACTTCCTATATGTATGATCATGGGCTTATGACCCTCTATTCCTTAGCTACTGGTGTCTGTAGTGATTTATTACCTTTAGTTTAATTGGGAAAATTTGGTTTTTGAAGGAATTCTATGCATCAAGAAGTGGATGAGTTTGTTCTATATGGAATTGATCCTATTTGTCTATGCTACATTTATTTTTCTTGTGAGATTTTAACAATTTGGTTCTTCAATCTTGTGGGTGTATTTCCTTCCATATTTTATTTCATTTCATTTTTATTAGTTTCTGTCCACATCTCATTAAAAAGACATTAAATAGTCCATTAAAATTGATACCTTAAGATTCTAGTCTAATTTGATTAAAGCGAGTTGTATTCTGAGATTTATGTATTTCTTTGGCCTTTACATCTCAGGAGCATGAATGTTTAGTAGTAGTGATAAAAATACTAAACGAGTGTTCAAGGAGGGTAGGAGGTTGTAGAAATACAACAGTATAAATAAAAGTCACTCGCAGAATAAAAAAATTTAATCTAGTTTTTATTTGTTTTTCTTTTCTTGAATCTGGTCATATTGTTTTGGATATTTCTTTGTTAAGTTAGCCTGTAAGGTTTTATAGATTTGCGATTTATTTTCATTATTTGGTTATTTTATTGCATAAAAAGTAAGTCAAGTTCTCACTCATGCCGTTTCCCAATTGATTAGAATTCTGAATGCAGTCGGATTGGGAATGTTTTCCACAAGTTGATGAGGCAGATTGGAAATCCAGTTGACTTTGAACTTCCTGATTGGTTTAGTAAATGGAAGCCTTTGCCGTATACCTTCATTAGGCGTAGTATCCTTTGCTAGTTTTGTTCTTTACTATCCTTTGAACTGTATACATTTTTTTCTTTCTTTTTGAAGTTTGTACTTTTCGTTAATGAAATTTGCATACCGTGGACATTTTCTTTTATGAAGTGTGTACCTTTCATTAATGAAATTTTCTTACTTTGGAAAACAGTAAAGTGTAGCCCATGGAGGAGGGAACTTCTCTTTTGTTAGGTCTCACATCTTTCATTGTTATTGATTTTTCACTTAAAGGCAGAGTATAGAGAGATTAACAAATATGTGATTAACCACTTCACTAACTGTATGGGCTGAAAGCATGTATTGCATTTTATTTCTCTGGAATCCAGTAAAACGTGTTATATTTACTGTTTATCTCTGATTTTTATTCTCTTTCTTTCTCCATTATTTTTCTGTTTGTTGATGTTAACAAATTTTAAGATGTCTACCTCACAAAGAAATTTAAAAGACGGATTGAGGATGATGGGATATTTTGTTCCTGTAGCCCTACATCAGGATCTCCAGGTGTCTGCGATAGAGATTGCCATTGTGGGTAAGCAATTTGCCAATAAGTTGCCTAAGTACCATGGCTGATGGAATTCTAAATGTTCTTTTGTCTTTGCATTTTATCCAACCATAACTTCGGAAATTTTAGCTTCTAAATTACCGCCCTGTCAACCATTGTAATATGGAGTGTATTGTTTTGTAGGTTAATATGATCACCAAAAAAAAAAAAAAAAAAAAAAAAAAAAAAAAAAAAAAAAAAAA